TTGTTAAAAGTCTTTGATTAATCGGTTAAAACTTCTTTTAATATGTTAAAATGTTCTTGATTATTTTTCAGATTTATTTTAACTGATGCGACAACGTTTTAATCGATTAAAACAATTAATAAAAATTTCCTTAAGTTGTTTTAATCGATTATTTCGCAGTTTAATCGATTAAAAGTCTACCAAAAACTTTCATAAAACTTTCTAAGTGATTTTAAATGATAACAATAAGTTTTAATCGATTAAAACAGTTAGCAAAAAGTTTCTTAAGTTGTTTTAATCGATTAACTCGATTTTACATCGATTAAAATTCTGACAGAACATCTTTCAAAATACTTCAAGTTATTTTAATCGATTATTTCAAAATTATATCGGTTAAAACACCGGCGAAGGTTTTCAAAAACTCCTTTAATGAAAATAATTGATTTATTCAAAAGTGTATCGATTAAAACAGTTCCAGTGAATGTTTTAAAAGGTTTTAATTGATTATTTCGAAAACCTATCAGTTAAAAATATGTTATATAAGTTTTAAGAACATTTTAATTGATAAAACTCATATAATATCAGTTAAAACAATTTCCTACAAACAATTTAACCGATTACTTTGATTTTTAACGGATTAAAAACATCTTTAGGATATTTTTAAATTCTTTCAAATGATGAAACCTCATGCAGTAGAGAGATATGAATGATTATACTTATGTATAGATTCAGACTCACTAATCACTCTACCTTTTAACCCAAGTAACCTTTGACTTCATTAGATTAACCTTTGACTTCATCAAATCCACAAGATCTTCATTTTATCAAATGATTCAATAAGATCTTCATCACCTTCAACTCTGCTATGTTGGTTGTCATGTGGCCCCAACACCGTCAATTGTCCCATGCAAGTGCTCATTTTTCTCTAGGTATCTCATCCAACCAATTAGCTGTTTTTATGTCACATTACCTCAAGATGTTGTAATAATAGTAAAATCGTGGTTCAGTCATCTCATATGCTACAACAATATTAAAAAAACAATTAATATAAATATTTATTAGCAACAGTTAAATAATGAATAAATTGTAACAAATTTGAAGCAAAGAAATTACCCATATTTACAACATCTTTCTTTAGTGCGGTGTTTTTGAAATGTCTCATAAAATTATGTGCAACATGTCTAATGCAGTAGACATGCACTGAATTATTTTTTGTCCATCCACTTCCATTTCTCATATATGCACTTCTAATGGATTCATGTCGGTCTGATATGAGGCATAATCCTTGTTGGGGTGTGACATATCTTTGGAAATTTTTTAAGAAAAAAAAACCAGGTATCACTTGTTTCACCTTCAACCACTACAAACGCAATGAGGAGGATGTTACGACCATCTTGTGCTACTGCAACCAACAAGGTACCTCTATATTTTCCGTATAGAAAAGTTTCGTCCACTTGAACAATGGGCTTGCAGTGAACAAATCCATCTATGCATGGCCAAAACATCCAAAACACACGCAGTGAACAAATCCAATATTGCCCTCTTATGCGCAATATTTCTCGACATCTCCAATTGCATTGGTTATCAACACATTCAACAACATATCTACTTTGGTTTGAAATTTTCACCTTGTATGTGCAGTGATTAACAATGTAAAAGCGGTTGATGACATCTTGAATTTGTTCTTTTGTTATGAAACATTGTCCAAGAAATAAAGTTCCTGCCGGAGAAATAAAAGACTCTCTGTCCAATGCATTACCATACTCTGGGTCTTGTTGTTGAATGTGACTTTCAAAGTTAAGAAAATGTTGTGGTGGGTTGTATGGTTCCATGAAGTTTGGTGCATGTGTAGGGATATGTGGTTGTTCGTCCTCTAAATCATCTTTGTGTTAGCTGAGAATTTCATCTTCGTCTTCGTCCTCATTAAAAGGATCAATGATTTCAATTGAGAGGTCAACAATTTCGTTCTCTTGTATGGGTAATTCTTCATTGATGTTGGTGGAAGACCCAGTTAGAAGTTGGATAAAAGGGATGTAGTCATTATGTGTGAGTATTTCTAGGTCAGTGTTTGGGAAATCTTAGTAAGGTGAGGGTGAGATTTCCGGTGAGTGTGTGTTGGGGTATGAAGAAGAAGAAGTTTTAAATGTAACAAAAATTTCAATACCACATAGACTTGAGTTTGAATCATGAACATCGAACATGACCTCCACGTCGTCATCATCTTTCAACTCAACAACAATGAAGTTATTGATCCCAACTCTGAGTCTAGTTGGGCAGCGAAAATGGATGGTTGCTACATTTTCGTGGGGTTCTTTCTCTAATTTCTTGTGGATCAACTTCTTCAACCTTTGTAGAGAAATTCCTCTCTTTAAAAGAATAAGTTTTGCAGTCCCAGTATTGAAGGTAACTCCCTCCATGGGACATAGGTTCATGGAACCATCATAGTGGACAATAGTAGATACTACACCCATTTTAGGAGTGTGGAACAAAAAGAAGACTAAAGGTAAGAAGAAGAAAGAATATAAAGAACTTCAGAGACTTAGGAGTGTGCAATGTGAGAACTTCAAATAATGAAAGTGGTTTATTTATAATAAAGTCCAATGGTTACATGACTTCTGACGCACACAAAACCCAAGCAAAGTGAGTGGGTCAACATCTCTTTAAATGTGCTTGAATTCTTCTGCTTTTGTCTAACCTAATGCAGGAAATCCAAGATTGGAATCCTAACTTGGGTGGGTGACTCAACATTTGATTATTTTAAAATTATAATCAATTAATTTAGCTTATAATCGATTATAAATAGTTGTAGGTTTCCTCGCTCAAGCGATGAATTTCTCGCTTGAACGAGAGTTGACCAAAGACTAAAGCTCCAATGCAGTTACCCACATAATGCAACTTAGCTCACCACATATTTCAATCAGTTCTCGCTCGAGCGAAATTACCCATCGCTTGAGCGAAAAAACATCCGAGATTACCCATTAGTTTCAGGTCTCTTCGCTCAAACCATGAATTTCTCGCTTGAGTGAGAGAGAAATAATCGATCATAATTTTAAATATTTGATTATTTTAAAATTATGATCGATTAGTTTAAATTATAATCGATTATAAATTTCTTCGCTCAAGCGATGAATTTGTCACTTGAGCGAGAGTTGACCACATGCGAAAGGTCCAACGCAGTTAGCCAATCAATTCTCGCTCGAGCGAAATTACCCATCGTTTGAGCGAGAATTGACTCAAAATTACCCATTAGTTTCAGATTTCCTCGCTTAAGCGATGAATTTCTCACTTGAGCGAGAGAGAAATAATCGATCATAATTTTAAATATTCGATTATTTTAAAATTATGATCGATTAGTTTAAATTATAATCAATTATAATTTTTCTCGCTCAAATGATGAATTTCTTGCTTGAACAAGAATTGACCACGAGACGAAAGGTCCAACGCAGTTAGCCAATCACTTCTCGCTCGAGCAAAATTACCCATCCATTGAGCGAGAATTAACCACAGACTAAATGTCCAATGCAGTTATCACATAATGCAACTTGAGTAATTACATATTTAAATAAGTTCTTGCTCGAGTAAAATTATTCATCGCTTAAGCGAAAAAACACCCAAGATTACCTATTAGTTTCAGGTCTCTTCGCTCAAACGAAAAATTTCTCTCTTGAGCGAGAGAACTTCTCGCTTGAGCGAGAATTTTATCATTTGAGCGAAATTAAACCCCACAAAATCTTTAAGTTTCAGATCTCCTCGCTCAAGCGATGCATTTCTCGTTTGAACGAGAGTACCATGAATAGTACTAGTTGGATAAATAATGTTCCAAATATACTATTTAAAAAAATATTTTTTAAAATAGTATTATTTATGAGAAAAAGTTGTTAAAAATGATATTGGATAAATCTAAAAAGAAAAAATGAAATCAAGAAAAATATTATAAGCTAACATCTCAATAATCAATCATTAATTATTATTAATTTTTGAATTATTAATCAATATCTTTCTCTAAATTTATTTTAATTTATATATATATATATATATATATATATATATATATTCATTTTTATGTCAATTTTTAAGAATTAATAAACTAATTTATTAATAAAAGTTTGATAAAACAGAATAGGTAACTTTTAAAATATGTATTGATTTTTATTGTCATATTTATTTTAAGTAAATTCTTGATATTATTATTAAAATATAATATAGTTCATCTATATTATTATAAAATATAATTATTCATATGAATATAAAGATAAAGAAGAAATAGTTTTTAATAATAATAATATATTAGTTTTTAATAATAATAATATATTAATATTTATTTAAAGTTGTTATAAGTAATATCAAATTATAATCTAATCGTAATACTTGGATTGTTGTAAAAAATATTACACTTTAATTAATGATTATAACTTTTAACATAATAATAAACACTCAATTATAATTATTAATATCAAAACCAAAATAAAAAATTGGATTCCTGATAAACAATCTTTAAGTAAAAGATTTGTTAGAGGTTACACCCCATTGTGTACTTAAAATGTTTTCTATCTCCCATATATAAAAAAATATCCTAGCACATGTGTCTCACCTATTTAAAATAATAGATTTTTTTACTATTTTATGACTCTGTCTTATTTCTGTATTCTCCAAGTTAAATCAGTAAATACAATCTATTATCAAAAAATCCAATCCAATTTTGATCTTTGGAACACATTTTCTTCTTTGATGGTTTTAATTTCTGGGAGTTGGAATTATTCGCATCAATTGTGTCTGTGTAAGCAAGAACAGATGCAATAAACCAATTAAATTCACATCACAATTAACTAAGACACTTTTAAGTGATTTTCACACAGCAAGACCAAATAACACTCGCTTCAATGTTACAATTTATTACATAGTATGATGTTCATCATAATTCACAGTACACATCAAATATTATTGTTTTTGGCACACACACCCGACACAAGATTTTTCAAACTCAACATAGCAAAGCAGAAGATATTATATATGTTGGGATTTTAACCCGAGATTTGCACAGCCTTAACATCAGGCTTCTTGACCTCTTCCTTGGGAATTGTGACAGTGAGAACCCCATTTTCGATGGAAGCCTTCACTTGATCCACTTTTGCATTCTCTGGCAACCTGAACTTCCTCAAGAACTTCCCACTGCTACGCTCAACACGGTGCCACTTATCGTTCTTGTCTTCCTTCTCAACGTTCCTCTCTCCGCTTATCTGAAGAATCCTGTCATCTTCAATCTCCACCTTCACTTGCTCCTTCTTCAGCCCTGGAATATCAGCTTTGAACACGTGCGCTTCTGGGGTCTCCTTCCAATCCACTCGGGTGTTCACAAATGCAGAATTTTCAGCAGAAATCGAAGATGGAAAGTGAATATCCTTGAAGGGGTCCCATACGTCAAGGGAGAAAGGGTCGAAAACGTTGCTCCTTCGACCACCAAAGAAGCTTGGGATGAGGGACATTTTCTCTTCTTTATTTACGTAGCTGATGTTGTTGGAACTCTGCAAAATATTGTGATTTGTTAGCATATACGAATGTGTTGTATGTTTCGGATTGAAAGGACACACAAGGTATTTAAACGAAATCAAGGGTCATTCTTGTATGTTCCAGAAATCTATCATTGTTTTGACAAAGTTTCCATCAGAAAAATCCAAAACCTTCTGGACTTCTCTGCATCACCCAGTAGGTTCTACATTATATTTTATGCCTTTATCATCAATCAGGCCACAAAATCATCAATCGGGCCACAAAACCATCAATTGGGCCAGAGAAGTTTTAAGCCTCAATAACATGTCTTTATTTTCCTCCAGAGAGTTCATAATTTTATTAGAAAAATCTTATTCTAATTAAGTTGTAAGTATTTGATTAGGAGTGTAAAGATACGCATAGTGTAATGGATGAGCAGAATGATCCGACAATATTAAAAAATTTATAATCTAAATTAAATTAATTCATTTAGATTATGTTTTATATAAATTTAAGTTAGATTAATTTCTAAGTTTATTAATCTGTCCATTTTATAAAATAATAATTATTTTAAAATAAAAATAAAAATATTTTATAAATATATATATTATAAATTAACTTGATTTATTTATTTTAAGAATAAATATTAAAATAAATTTTTAATAATTATTTATTTCAATATTTAATTATTATTTTAAATTAATAAATTATTAAAAATAAATAATAATAATAATAATAATAAATAAATTTTATTTTTTATTTTAAGATTAAATAGATACAATCTTTTTATAAAAAAATTAATTTTATTAACAAAATTTAATTTTTAAAATATATTTTTATTTTTATTTAAATATATTTTTAATTAATTAATTTTGTATAAATATATTAATATTTTTTTTAAATTCAAGCAAGTTAAAATTGGTCTTTTCAATCTATTGGTCTAATATAGAACTAAATTAGATTACAAATTTTGGTTTGTTTTTAAATATTGATTAAGTGGATCATCAATTTTTTTACTTAATCTGTAACTGGGTGGAAGGATTATACCATCCATCTGGACGGCTTTACAATTCAATTTTTATGTAATTGATTCTAATCATGCATTTAATATGAAATAAATCTATAGTATACAGTAATTATAATAAAATTGATTGAAGAACCATAAATCTATTAGACACTTTGAGAAAGAGGCATACTTAGTATAGATATTAGATATTATGGATGATAAAATGTGATGGCAAGTGTGAGAAAAATAAGAAATGTTACAAAAAGAAATAATATCGATAATAAATATTAATTTTAAATAAAATTTGACAAAAATATTTTTTAAATATGTATTAAAACTAAATTGATATACAACTTAATTAGATTAATGGAGATAATAAAATGAAATTATGAAATTTTTTTATAAAAATACTTCTATTATATGAGGTGTATGGTGATTTTATAAAATCATATACATTCAAGCTTCTCAGATTAAATCAAAACAATTTTTTGAAATTTATCCCAAAAAAATATTTAGTAGGATTGTAAGAAAGAATGATTTGGTCGAGATCTTACGTGCCAAGTAAAATTATTAATGACCTAATCTAATTTATATTTTTAAATGTACCATAATATTTTACCCAATCGATCATTATATTAAGTTAATGGACTAACAAATTAATTTTGATATGATTAAAAATAAATAAAAAAATATTAACTTGTCTATAATAAAATAATTAATTAAAATATTTAAATAAAAATAAAAAACTATTTTAACACCACTAATTAATACATAATTTAGATAAATAAAATATTAAAATAGTATTCTTAACATGATTTTTTTTCTTTCTATTCTTGTTTTTTTTTTTAATTTCTTATCATTTTCTTTTTTTATGTGATAATCTCTTTATTTAATTTTATTGTCTTATTTATATGTTTTTCCTTTGCAATCATTTGTAAAAAAAAAAAAACCTTTTCCTCAACATGATATTTATTCTCATAAATTTTCTTATTTTTTGCATTGGGAGTCGTTCATTTAATCCCTAAAATGTTGTTGGAATTTGTTTTTTTTTTTTTTTAATCTCATTTCATTGATCTTTCAACCACAAATATAATATGAAGAAGATATTTTCTTCTCAAGGTACCCATTCTTATTGTCTTTATTTATTTTATTGTCTTTCAACATAGGTGAATTCATGGTAAGTTTAGGCTCATTTAACTTCTACAGTTTTTTAGCTCAACCTGAAACTTCTCCATTTCTTGACCTTAATTTTAAACTCTTCATCTTTCTACTTAAGAGTCTCCTTTTTGGCCATCAATATATCTTCAATCTTCTCCTTCTGAAGGTGCATCTACTGCAATTTTTTCTACATCTTTAGCAATTCTTTCTAAAACTATTGTTTTCTCTCAAAGTCTTGTTTTCCAACAATGATGTTTCCCTGGTTGATTATTGGAGTTTTTTTTCCTTTAGGGATTTTCTGTCCCTCTTTGTTGGTATTTCATACTATCCTTTCGCTAAATTGATAGTTGATTTGTTATCAATTTTCAAAATCATAGCCTTCTCGGGTCTTCCTAGTACTTGACTCACCAAAATTTCATCCAAAATGTTTGACAACTTGTGTATGCAATAGATATGTAATCTTCTTCACAAGAACAAAGTGTCACAATAGGTTATAATTTTAAGCACTATGAAATCGATGACTTACCCATCAAGAACATGTAACTTGATGTGATTCTGCATCCATCTTTATCATCAGCCCAATCTAAATCAAAATAACTAACTTACTCCTTTTCATTCTAATGTGCAAGATTTGGTAATAAAATATCATAATCAACTATCTTGCATATGCACCTCAAAATTCTTCTAGTTTCTACAGAGTGCGATGCTTTAAGTTTCTCCATGAATCTGCTAAACAAACCAACACCAAAATAAATATTTGATCTACTGCATCATATTTATTAATTCTGAATTTTTTTAATACTTATTTAGCATATTTACTTTGGTGAACCACAATTTCTTCTTTGCCTTTAATAAACTCCATACCTAGAAAATATGACAACATCATCTCAAATTGATCCTTCATCCTTCTTTTTAAATCCTCAATCAATATAATATTGTTGTCGGTTATTGACATTATGATTGACATATAAGCATACTATTAATACTTCATCACACTCAATTTTTGAGTAAATTTCATACTTTACTTCACACTTGAAGAAACCTTGTTGTATAAGAAAATCATCAATTTTGATGTTTTAGGCTCTCAGAGCTTGTTTCAAGCTATACAAAGTCTTTTTTAGTGTAAGTACCTTATGTTCTTCTCCAATAATCATGAATCTTGGTGGTTGTATAACATACACTTGCTCCTCCAATTCAGCATTTAAAAAAACAGATTTAACATCCATTTGATGTATTTTCCATCTTCTGTAACCTACAAGAGTTGCAAAAGTTCTTATTATCTCTATTCTAGCCACTAGTGCATAGATTTCCTTGTAATCCAAACCTTCTCTTTGAAGAAAACCCTTTGTCACAAGTCTGACTTTATACCTTACAACTATTCCATCTGACTTCAACTTAATTTTATATACTCATTTATTGGTCTTCGATATTTTAGCATATTAGTTAATTTCCATGTATGATTCTTCTCGATTGCAAGTAGTTCTTCTTTCATTGCCTCTATCCACTTAAGATCTTCAATCACATCTTCATTGATTCTAGTTTGATTTCAGCACATAAAACTAAATGAACTAGATCATTCTCAACCTTAGTTTCTCCAATAATTTGTCCTACTCCTATAATTGTATTATCTATATATGTCATGTAATCATCGAGTTTTGTTGGTGCTCTTATTATTCTTGTTGGTCGATTTTTTCCTTTTGCCATTGCTTACTAATTGGTTTCTTAAATCAATCAATTTCTTCTATCGATTTCTTGAATTGATTATTTTCTTTCGCTGATTGGTTCATTATCATAGGAAATATCCAAACTAATATTTTTGTTCCTCTCTATCGAATTTCAATCTCAGTTGACTTTCTCATCGACTATAACATTTGTTGATGCTAATCTTCTTTGTGATAGAATCATACAACTTATAAGCTCTTATTGAATGATACCCAACCAAAATTAGTTTCTCACTTATGTTATTGAGTTTTCTTCTTTCGTCGGGAACATGTATTCAACAATTTGAACCAAACACCTTCAAATGCTTTACACTAGCTTTCTTATTCTCTGAACAAACTTCTTATAGTATTTTCTCCTTAATTCTCTTATTTGGACATTGATTCAAAATATAAGTTGTAGTGACAACCGCTTCACCAAAAAAGAATGTGACAAACTTTTGCTTTTAAACATACTTTTAACTATGTTAAGAATCGTTCGATTTTTTCTTTCAGCAATACTATTGTGTTATGGTATATATGTGGGGTACAATTTTATGTGGAATACCATTTTTCTTGCAAAATAATGTAAATTCACCATTATTATACTTACCACCACCGTCTAATCTCAAAATTTTAATAAATTTGTCACTTTGTTTCGCAACCAACTTTTTGAATTTGACAAAACAATTAAAAACTTCTGATTTTCTCTCAAGCAAATATGGTCATATTTTTTTTACTGAAATCATCGATAAACGTAACAATATACTTATTTTCACAAGTGAGGATAATTTGAAATGACCATACACTTATAATACTTCTTTACTCTTGGTTTCGATATGCACCCTAAAAGGATTTCTTGCTTGTTTTCCAATAATGCAACTTTCATAGGTAACTTAAATCTTATGAATTTGAGGCAATCTTGTCACTATCTTCTTCTCTACCAATTGACTCACGCTATAGAAATGAAGTGACCATATCTTAAATGCCATAACTAGCTGACATCGAAAACTACAATTGCAAAACACATATAACTTGATACTAAAATATCAACTTAAAAAGTTTTATTGTTGCTCAAAGGAGCCTTCAAAATTGGTGTTCCATTTTTATCGATAATTCTCAACATTTTCTCCTTGGATCTCCAATCGATTAAATGCCTTTTTTGTAGAAGTTTACAACATAAAACACAAATGAAATTATT